AAAACTATAGTGCTTTCGGTTGAACGCTTACAGCTCCAAGAGAGCTGTGCGCGCAATGATAGTAGCCGTTTCAGCACCGTTTCCGCAATACATGTGGGGCTGATAAAACAGGATGGTGGAGTAGAAGAAACCACAATAATATTTGGGTCATTTATTTTTTGGAATGCTGATGAGTACTGGGTATGTTAAAAATTGGCTGCCTCCCTCGCTACATGTGTGTACCCGCCAATCGTAATGAGTGCTGGGATCCCGCGCTGTAGTAACCGAAGACTGTTAATGTGTCTATAAAGAAGCTCCTGGTTCGAACAAAGAGTTTCGCCCGCCCCTGTTGGTGTGTGAACTTATAACCACCAACCGACTGCACATAGTGGTTGCATTAAGCTGTCCAATTTTATGATCTGAGCTTGATTTAGTAAAACTCGCCATGTCCGGTTACTTAGAGCCAAATATTTTCGTTTTACGTTTCTCCAAATGGATTTTGGTTTGAAAAGAATGTGACAAATGTTGGCTGTGATGATTTTGCGTCTAGTGATGTAAAGGTTTTAAGAATGTATACCAAGCTATATTTCTGGGGCGCACATAGCCGTAGATGTCATACTACGGTTTTCAGGGAATGCACAATCTACGTGTTAATGCATGGTATAATATATATTTTCGGGCACCACATTGAGATATCCGGCGTAGCAAATATAATCAGAGAGTTGAGTTACGTGATTGCTTCAAACCAAGTGACTGCACACATCTAGCCCATCAACCATGAGCTCCTCGCTGTTGAATACAAGTTCTGACATTGACGGCTTATTGCTGTTCTGAATCTGGGGCAACTGGGATAGGAAGTTACAGGGGTGTTCCAGAGATTTGTTCTTACAAATAAGCTGGAGTTTCCAGATAACTCTTAACGCAATGAACTGTAATGAAGTTCTGGCTACATTTCTGATTCATCACGAAACGCAAAGCCGATTTTAGTCTGTGGTCTAATTCTGGAGTGGATTTGAACAGTCGGTAAATTACAGACACAAAGCATATTTCGACGGCAACAAGAAAAGTCCTTACCAAGTAGATCAGAAGATGACCTCTTAGGTTTGTATTGTGGTTCAATTCCAGCAGCGGACGGCAAATGTAGATTGAGTTCTGCAGAATCTGCTAAACCTTTATGAGAGCTTCCCGTAAAAACCGATATCGGCTGCTTTACGTTACTAGAGATTTCAGTCTAAGCTGATAGGACAGATGAAAGATGCCCCTGACGTTCTTAGTTGCCCTTCGTTGAGGAGTCGCGAGACTAACGTGATTTTGTTTCTGCCACGGCTGCTACGCCTGGCTAGCATATTCCACGTGTGGTCGCACTTAGGTCTCAAGCATTTGGGGAAAGATGGAGGATTCAAACCGACCGAAGGCTTTGCGAAGCAGGCCGAAGTGTTGATTGTCGGTCCTCGTCGTCTACTCTGCTTGTTTGGAACACCCGAGAACTTCCTGTATCACCACACCTAGGTCACGCTCCTGAGAGTCTTTTGCAACGTGTAGTCTCCAAGATTGTAAGCGCTCACCGGCTGGTGACGCAGATGGATGACCTTGCAATTAGCTGCGTTCAACTGAAGCAGGTTCCTCTTTGACCATTCATAAATGCAATCTTAGTCATGCTGGAGTAGATCGTGCTCTTCAATATTACTAATCGCCCACTATATTTTGATGTCAACAACAGGAAATTTGAGGGGACAACTCTTGCCAGATCGTTGATAAACACCAGGAACAAGCGCGGTCCCAGCACTGAGTGTTGTGGGAGACCGCACTCTACCTCAATCCGATTAGAGAGTGATCCCCTAATGCGCACTTGACGTTTCCGTTGGTGAGAGAAGTTGTCATTCCAAACAACCACAGAATCCCCGATTCCGTAGCTCTGTAGCCGGTGAATTAGGATGCGGTGATCTAGGCGGTCGAAAGATTTGGTGACGTCCAGATATATGACGTCTAGTCAGATCCCATCATCAACCACTTCCGGCCAACTACCTGGACGATGTACCGGCGGGATATGTGCTATCTCGAGCGGTTCCATTAACAGTCTTTGCGACGGATTCTGCGCATTGGCTGATGCGACAGTGTTGCAGACACGGAAGTGTTGCGCCGAGGTGGAATGTGTGCAGTGGACTGCATTCTTTTGCTGAGACACCTGAGATGGCTCAGTCATGTGTGATGTATGGATTCTACGCGGATACGGAAGAAGCTACTATTTAGTCAACTGTGTGTGAGGAAGCGACATGAGGGGAAACTGAAGCTTTGTCACCAGGACATGATCAAAGTGAGGGTATCACGTTCTAATCTTCTTTTCGAATTATGGTAATCGAAGGCAGTTGATCGGTGTGGTGGCTACCAATAGTTCAGGACCAATACTGATTCGGGCAACCATTGTAGATTGCACCTCCGGTGAAGGCTGAAAGAGACGGACAGTTTCACTTGTGTTGATGGTGAAACCGAAGTTGGCAGCTGTCGAGGCCAGTGCACTAGTCAAGTGCTGCAACTCATCCGCGCTTTGTGCAAACAACGCACGGTCGTCAGCAAACAGCAACATATTGATAGTTGTATTACAGACTAGGGTTCTCGCACCGACATGACGATTGTTCAGCAAATTACATCAATACGGTGCTCCACACGAACACCGTAAGCACAAGCCATCATAAGTCAAACACAAGAGATCCTGACATGAAGCTAAATATTAAACAAAATAGGATTTAAGACACAACCTTGTTTAACACCAGAGATAACTACAAAGTCTTCCGAGGCCCCTCCACTCAGGTGCACCCTCACCCGCATACCACAGTGCAAACATTTAGCTAAAATTACAAACATATTCGGACAACCAAACCTAACCAACGCCGACCACAATGCCACGCTGTTCACCCTATCAAATGCCTTGGTGAAATCAACAAATAGCCCAGACAACGGCTGCTGTCATTCTCTACACTTCGCCTGCAACTGACGAGCCGCAAATACCATATCTATAGTTCTGCGACTCGAACGGAATCCACACTGCTCTTCCGGCACGTTCGGTTCCACAATCTGACTGACGAGGCGATTGAGCAGGATTCGGGCAATCTCCTTGCTCACACAACTCAGCAACTTGATGCTACGATAATTCGTGCTTGCTCCCTTT